AACTATTATTTCAATTAACGAACAATTCGTTCAGTCACGTTTTTTCTGGGAGCCCATACACAGACCCCGTGTACTTAGCAGAAAGGGTACAATAATTTGGAAAACTATCGTATGTATTCGATTGTACATCATTAGTACATGATTGTACTAGATTTTTTTCTGTTTGTAGATGCACTCATTAATTATAAATAATTATTCCATTTTCGCCATGATGCCAGAGATTATAAGGGAGATTGTTAGCAGAGATTATAGGGGAGATTGCTAGGGCTTATGGAAAGGCTTCGACGAGTGATTCATTGCGGCGGCTACGGAACTACACCTAGAGAGCCCATACGTATAAGTAAAACAGGTCGCGAGCCCGTGAGTGTCGATAATTTTCAGAGCCCGTGCGTGTCGATAATGTTCAGAGCCCGTGAGTATGGATAAGACAGAGCGCGAGGCCGTGAGTGTCGATAATTCGAGGCGGTCGTGAGTGTCAGAAAGGTAGGGCACTTATCGAAATAACGACGACGTCCGAAAACGAACGAAAACATCCGATGTACCGGAGAGTGGAGGTATGATGGAGAGACACAACCAATGGACGGAATGAAAAAGCGTTAACGTTCATAAATACGCCATTTGTTTAAAAAATTGAGGAAAAATTGTCTCGAACATGTATACTCAAACGATTGAGAATCAGCTGAAACGTGGAGATTTATTGGTCCCTCGGAACTTTTTTTTTTAAACGATATCTTTTTTATTAACAAATTGAAAAATGACTAAACAAATTGGGGAAAAATTGTCTCGCAAATATATATTCAAACGATTGGGAATCATGGGAATTATAGGTCCCTCGGAACCTTTTTTTTCAACGGCTCTATTTTTGTTAACAAATTCAAAAATGATTAAACAAATTCGGGAAAAATTGTCTCGCAAATGTATACTCAAACGATTGAGAATCGTCTGAAACGTGGAGATTTATGGGTCCCTCGGAACTTTTTTTTTTAACGGTTCCGTTGTTTCAAATTCAAAAATTCAAAAATTATTTATAATTAATTCAAAAAAATCAAAAATTATTGAACAAATTGGGGGAAAAATGTCTTCGAGGTATTTACTCAAACGATTGGGAATCATCTGAAACGTCGAGATTTACTTGTTCCTCGGAACGTTTTATTTTTTCAATGGCTCCATTTGTATAAACATATTCAACAATTATTAAATAAGAGGCGGATAAATTGTTTCGCAAATCTATCCACAAACGATTGGGAATCAGCTGAAACGTCGGAGTATTGAGGTCAGAAGGGCACCTGGGAAGAGTTAGGCGAGGTTGCCCGCTCAGCCTGGTAATCTCGCACATATCTCTGGGTGATAGACGTATACGTAGCAGCTAACTGGAATGTTGGAAGCAACGGGAATATAGAAAGGAGATCAACGTCACAAAGACTAAGGTCATAGTTCTCAAGAAATATGGAAAACCTAAATCGCAGCAGAAGTGACAGATAAAGGACAAAGAAGTGCACTCCTCCAACTACCGAGGTTCCTGCGTGACAACTTGAAATTCCTACGAAACACACCTACAGTGGCAGAGAAGGCTCACAGAGCGGCTAACTGTTGCGTGATGTTTATCCACATTATTGACCAGTGCCTTATAATAATTAGTGGGGAAACACGACCGTCTCAAGAATAATGAAGGAACAATAAGCGCGATTGCAATTCGAAAGCGTTGAAAAAGGCGAGCACAAGTGACACCGGGATACCACAGATGACGGGGAGAGTAATCTGACTGAGCTTCAGTCAAAACTAGCTTTGAATTTCGAGGATAATGTACCAGTACAAGCCATCGGAAAAAGTCTTCCTCGTGGCGTAGGAAAGTACGGGCAACAAGAACCTTGAGGAGACCGTAAGGAAGGCCCAACCAAGGAAGAAATGAACACCGAAGTTATGGATGAATCAGTATAATATATTCACTCGAACGACCCTTCGCCGTTTCCCTCAGACCTCACCATGGCCGAGAAGATGCTCCAAGGATATATCCCTAGGAGTCAAGTTACTTCTAAGAAGATCAAGACACAGGTGTACTCCACAGTGGATATTGACTCATCCTACGGGACCGTGCATGATGTCAATATCGAGGACCACGAGAGTTTCCCCCCGGAAGTAGTATTCAACACGCAGACATCCTCGGAAGTTTTCTGGATAAAACGTCCCAGGAAGCAACAGCTGACGATTGTTAATTTTTCTGTTTCAGAAATAATAATTCTACCAGCGATAATGGCAGAGGTTGATGATGATCATTTTTATGGTAATGGCTGAACGATGAAACCAAAGAAGACGCGACGACGCATGGAGAGTGAGACCATGAAGAAAACAAAATACAGGAAGACTAGACGGAAGAATAGACCGGGAAAAAAGACGAAGAATAGAACAGATTTTTTTTTTAATGACTGTATGCCACAAAATTCGATAAACTATCACCTAACTACAGTGATGAAGACCCATTAACGTCATAACTGAAAGCCCCTAAAAAAGTAGCCAGACTGACCCAAAAGTAGGTTGAATATTGTAATAAAAGAGACATCCACTAAAGGCCATCTCTATTCTTCTTTCACTTATGTGTGATTTTCTGAAGTTTCTTATTTCGACTGTAAGTTTTAATCCGATCCTTGATTGCCTCCCGAGTGTTGAATTTCGTTCTGGTAAAGATTTTGATTTTAAAACGTTACTAGCCAATGATTGTAGCAGCTGTGACTCTCAATGAACCAATCAGGAGCAGATGTCTGAAGAGCTCTGCTTATATCAGCAGTGATATTGCGGAGTACAAATGGTGAGAACCAGTGCTTTTTCCACACTTGATCAGAAACCCTCAGCTGTAGCCCAACCAACTGAGCAAACCGGTCTGTAGGAGGAGTCAGTTTCGTTACAGCCGGCGCATTGATATCGATATTTTCATATTCGCGAGACTCAATGTATAAGTCATCAATAGACTGAGCATCCGCAGGTGTCTTACAGATTTCAGTTCGGCATCGCTCACAATTTTTGATGCTCTTGAAAGCTACATAACCTGCGAAAAAGGCTAGCATTCCTTTCATAGAGTGACGTCGCTGTGAAGAAAAAAATGAAGGGAGGAACTGTGAAGCCAGACTTTTGAGAAATTCGCCATGTACGAGTCCAGTCGATTAAATCCAGAATGAGTTCCTCGATCTGAGGATTGTCTGATGACAATAGTCTTCTATTTGGATTTTTATCGATTTCACCAACCGAGTTGTAGGCATCGATAATATCATTCATTTTTTCAGCGAATGCGGCGCTGTTTCTCCAAAGCTCTGAGACCACATTGCACCCAGAAGAATTTACCATCGAATTTCCCCATAATTTGATGGCTTGTGCGTAACGACTCTTGAAGACTTGAAAAGCACGTTTAACATTCATTGACTTAAAGGAATTAGGAAGTCAATGAACATCAGTTATATGGCTCAGAAGATTGCAAGTTGTCAAATTCTTGTTGAATACGTATGTCGCCGTGGAATCGCTCCACGAAACAACAATTTTTCCGTTTTGCCCAATTGCGCCGTGTTTTCTCAAGGCAGTAACGACCCTTTTAATCAAATGCGGAACGTCAAAAGCAACGAAAGACATTTCCCCCCCTATATTTATCGACGCATCACCATAGTTGACCTGCTGAATCTTGTCATAAAGACGCTGATTAGATGGCCCTCAATTACACACCAATAATGTTACTCTTACATCTGCCTCCTCCAAGCGTTGAAGACACTCCTGTAAAAGTAAATGCATATCTGGCACAAACCTCGACGTTTCAGCTGATTCCCAATCGTATGGCTATACATTGGCGAGACATTTTTCTCCAATTTGTTTAAAAATATTTCGAATTTGTTAATAAAAAAGGTATCGTTGAAAAGAAAATGTTCGGAGGGACCAGTAAATCTCGACGCTTCAGCTGATTCCCAATCGTATGGCTATACATTGGCGAGACGTTTTTCTCCAATTTGTTTAAAAATATTTCGAATTTGTTAATAAAAAAGGTATCGTTGAAAAGAAAATGTTCGGAGAGACCAGTAAATCTCGACGCTTCAGCTGATTCCCAATCGTTTGAGTATAGATTTCCGAGACAATTTTTCCCCCATTTGTTTAATAATTGTTGAATATGTTAATAAACTGGAGCCGTCAAAAAAAAAAGGTTTGGAAGTACAAGTAACTCTCAACGTTTCAGCTGGTTTCGATCGTTTGAGTATACATTTGCGAGTTATATTTTCCTCAATTTGTTTAAAAATATTTCGAATTTGTTAACAAAAAAGATATCGTTGAAAAAAACTGTTCTGGGAGATCAGAAAATCTAGGTGTTTCAGACGATTCTCAGTCGCTTGATGATACATTTGCGAGACATTTTTTCTCCAATTTGTTGAACAATATTTCGAATTTGTTAACACAAAAGGTATGGTTGAAAAAAAAGTTCCGAGGGACCAGATAATCGCGGCATTTCAGGCAACTCTCAATCGCTTGAGTATACATTTGCGAGAAGTTTTTTCCCCAATTTGTTTAAAAATATTACGAATTTGTTAACAAAAAAGATATCGTTGAAAAAAAACGGTTCTGAGGGATCAGAAAACATCGGAGTTTCAGGGAATTCTCAGTCGTTTGAGTATACATTCGCAAGACTTTTTTTCCCAATTAGTTGAACAATTTTTCGAATTTATGAAAGTGAACGCATTTTTCATTCCGTCCGTCTGTTGGTTTTCCATCGTACCCCCACTCCGCTTTATATCGGGATGTTTTCGTTCGTCACGATTTGCTCGAATTATCGACCTTCTCGCGTTCGCGCTCTGCCATATTCCTAACCATAAGCACGGTCTTCTCGAATTATCGACACTTTCGGGCTCGCGACCTGTTTTACTTACAGGTACGGTTTCTCACCATAGTTGAAGGTTTTGTATAGGCGCTGGCAACCTCCCCCATAATCTCTGTATATATTCACTCTCACCACATCAAACGTATATACATATGAACCCGCGTTTTCCACTGTCTTTCTCTAAAGAAAAACTTATGCTGATAGGCGAGATATAGGCGAGATTTACTGATTATTTTTTATCGCAGTTTGCTGCACACTCAATAGCTAACAGTAATTACGAATTCAGATACGGTCGCAAGAAATTGTAGTTAGTGCCATAACAATCTTACCATAATCATTACCATTATGGATTCAGTCAGCATGTCATTCTCGTTGGAATTTGCACATAATTGATTGCCAACTACTACAGATTACTTATTCTGTTTTTGATCACCGAAAAGTGATATAGCTTGCTGACAATTGAAAAACCAACCAACTTTTTGAATTGTATGCTTTGCAAGATATCAAACAATTGTTCTGTCTTTCTTCCAGACCCGATATTTTGAATAACCCTCACAACCGATGAAAATTTCCTTCTATGTTTAGCGTATAAAGTAGCACGGTGCTAGCATCGAAGAGATGAGAAATTTTTCAAGTAAGACGACTAAGTGATAACTGAAACTTTAGTATATTCCCTATTAACAAGTTGAGTTACTCTGTTTTAGGAGAACAGCCTTATGAACTGCCAGCAACTGCAGAGGAAATTATAGTGTTCAAGGTCATAGACCCCCATCACATAATCGTGGGCAATGTAGATAACAGATGCAAAGAACTAACCAAAATATCCTGTAAACTCTCAACATTAGCTAAGCAGCATTCGGAAAATGGGCCCGATCGTCCAGAAAATAGAACAGAAGTAGTTGTTCAAGGAAAAGTGGGAACTAAGGCAGAAGATACGTGGTGGTATCGTGGTATTGTCGAAAGTTACAGCGACGAAACATCTGAATACAAAATATTGTTACCAGATCACGGAGTCACCATTTGTCTACCTCGACAACAGTTTATAACGGTAACAAAGAATTCAATATCTGATGATTATCTTACATATCCTATCGGTCTTTATCATATTGTACCTGGAATTCTCAACTCTTACGCTGGTGAGGATAAGGCAAAAAACTATGAGATAGCCATAGACAGAAAGTGGAGTCCAGAAGCTATCAAACTCACAAAATGTCTGATGGTTGGAGCTTCACAGATTTTTTTTGATCACATTGCGAATTTCAATGGAAAAAAATGTGGAGAAATATACGTGATAATTGATCAGGAAGTAATACCCTTGAGCTCCACTCTCCTTCACTCGAATTTTGGAGCTTATTTTATGGACCAGGATTATGAGAAAATGCGTCAGCTGGAATTTCGTAAACCAAGGGATCGTGAGTATGGTTATGAGGAAGTTATTCTGGAGCTTCCAATGCTTGAGCCAGTAGATGTTGACAGCTTGATGCCTACGAAAATAGTCTCGTTGACGATACATAACTCGACTGTTTCTGAATCAAGCAGTAAATTGTATGAAGAAGTATTCATCAACGATAGCAATAAATGTCGGCGACTAACATCACTGAGAGATGCTAATTTCTGTACTTCAATTCACAAAGCTCTGAAAGAAATGGAAATTGAAACCCTGTGGAAAATGCCTTCGTATACCTGGCCAGCAATAACCAAATGTTGCGATGTTCTCATAGTGAGTGCTAAAAGTACGGGGAAGACCCTTGGATATGCTGCAGCAATAGCTAATTTAGTTGTAGCTACGCAGGGTGAGCAGGAGGATAATTATCCAATGGTTTTGGTTCTGTGCTCCTCGACTGACGCTGCTCAAAATGCTCATGACATTTTTGCTAGGGTCCTGGCGAACAATGTAGAGATTTCAATTATCTCTGCTTACAATGGTATTGACTACAAATCTTTGACAGCTAAATTGTATAATGGGTGTCACATATTCATATCGACCCCAGCATTCCTGGAGAGATATTGTTCTAAGGCGGAATATGGTAAAGTTCTCAATCTCTGCTATGTACGTCACGTAATATTCGATCAGCTAGATATTCTCATGCAAAAGCAGAAGGCAGAGTTGGTAAGTGTGCTGAAGGACACACCCATTGGTAAACGAAAGGGTGAAAATTCAAAGGGGTTCACTGTACAGCTTATTGCGGTTGCTGAGCAGTGGTCAACAACTCTCGGGAAATTCACAGAAATGTTCGGTGAACCTTATATCTGCATTGGTTCACATCCAGATGCAGTCATATCCTGTGGTATTCAACCCAAATTACGGCTAATTCAAACTATCCATAAACCTAAATTGCTTGTGGAATTGTTAGGAGAACGCTATCGAGTTGTAAAAACACTAGTTGTCTGTTGCAGCAGAAGAGAAGCTTCAAAGTTGAAGAAACACCTTTCGAATTATTGTAGAATTTTATATGTTGATGGTAAATCTTTGATTGATGAGATTCATGGGATTAGGGCTTGCTGGCATGTAGCTGTCTCCGGATTATATCCAGTTTTAATCTGCACTGACAGTGTTCTTCATGATTTACGTATTTCTGATGCAGAGTGGTTGATTCATTACTCCATTGGAACGGCAACGAAATCCATTTTCAACTTTAGATTTTCTTCTTTAATTTCTAATTTGAAGGAGAAAACAAAGGCGATGGAGGTGACACTGATCCTAGATGAGTCCAATGACCTACAACTTCGAGGAGTTCTGGACTTGATGCAGAGATCAGGAGTGAAATTAAAGAAAGATGAATTAGAAGCAGCTGATAAAATTATGCTGACCCTTGACAGAAAAAAGCAGGGTTTTCCCATTTGTGATAGAATCAAGGCTTTTGGTTACTGTTCGAGTAAATTTAATTGTCCGTACAGACACTGGATACTTCCCGATATTGATAAATCGAAAACTCCAGTTGAGGAAGGAGATGTCGTGAAATTACTTCTCACGTATATTCACACAGCTACACATTTCTCTGGCAGAATTCTGGAGAGAACTGATTTCAGTGGACAGGTCCACAAGATGACTGATCATGAACATGTAAACACTGTTACTAGAGTGAATCACTATTTTGCTGAGCAAACCAACAGATTAATTGATAAGAGAATCTTTGTTGGAGGACTTTATGGATACAAACGAGATGAGGGACATTTTGAGAGAGTATCGATTGTTAATATTGTGGAGAGGTATGTAGACGAGAGACCTAGGTATGTAGATCTTAAGTGCATCGACACAGGTCTTGAGTACCACAATGTCAGAGTTGGTGTTTTACTGGAATTATCCAAGGAACTGAGAGAGGCACCTGCGAATATTTTCGAGATATTTTTGAGTAACGTGATGCCTTTCGATAAAGAGGATGAGTGGAGTTACTTTGCAAAGAACTGCGTGCAAGAGTGGATAAAGGATAATCGATCAGTATCTAAATTTTTCCAAGCTAGGGTGCAACTGGTTCTAGGGAATACTGTATGGATTGATACATTGGACATCAAGATGAAAATCACTGGCAGAAGAGATCAACTGGTTTCCACCCTCAAGTCGCACTTGATTAAACTAAATCATGGTATTTCTGATGATGATCACATCCAACGGCTTCTGAAACTCCGTCAGATAGCAGCGGCGTCTGATCCCTGATCCATATAAACGATTGTAGTCTGTTATTCATTTTCAAACAGTAAAGTAAAATATACCTATATCAAAGCTGCCAGGATCAACACCAGTTATGATAAGGTTTTACTCATTTAATTATTCTTTAAGAACATGTGGAGGAAGCATATTTCACTTATAATGGTTTCTTACTATAATTTAAAAAAACTAGAATTAAATCGTAGTGAAAATTTAATGTATAGGATGCTAGTGTAATATCAACAATTACTTTTATTCTTAATTTCTACAATTTTTCTATGTTTAAACAAACAAAAAAGTAAATAGATGAATGAAGCATTCGGGAATTAGTCGATTGATAGACTGGCGAGTGGGATTTACAAAAAATACAAAATAAACAAAATTATACAAAACAACTCGTCTTAATGTATACCAGCGAGTGGGTTTAAAATTCTAATTGGCTGTGCTTCGATGCCTTTTTTTTATTCTGAGTTCACTGCGTTATTATAATGATCTATTGGAAAAACTACTCAAAACCACCAATTTGACATTTACTTTAATAATAATTAAATGATTTTCAACGGAGAGCTTATCATTTTATATAGTCATTTTGTGATTCGAGAAGGACATTCGATAGTATTATCTGCTATTACTAAACCAATTCAAATAGAAATATCTCCATATCACTCTGCACTCTGCTATCGTTATTATGTTGTCTATCTTTTAAGGACACGATCTGTTATCAAGAGATCTTCAGTGCTGTTGCCAAACAGTTTGAATAAGCTGGAGATTGATTCTTACTGATTTTGCAATATTTGCTTATCCACCAAAATGTAAAATATTATCTAACCTTCGAAATCAGATTACGATTATCTGAGGGCAAATCGATCAAAGTAGAAGAGAGCAAATTTGCTTTTTCATCTTTATTTGTGGTGTCTATTCCATGATACTTTAAGGCTCGGGTGGATTATCTAGAAAAGATCATTTACTCCGAAATTCGGATTCCTAATTACTTTGGCAATTAATCGTTTTTTTCAATAATTGTTAGCTAGCGTTCTAGCGGTTGTCAACAACTAGGTCGCTAGCTAACAATTATCGGAAAAAACGATTAATTGACGGAGTAATTACAAGTCCCAATTTTGGAGTAAATTATCTTTTCCAGACAGTCCATCCGGGCCTCAATTATATTAGCTCTAAAAATTAAACACTCTCACTAATTAAATTAACTATTAGAATAATTAGTATTATTTGCAATTCGGCTGGTAGTGCAAGGCTATCCAAAAATTTCCGCCTGCGAGTCCACTCTTAGTGTTTTATGCACTTCTTAAGAAATTATAAAATTTAGTACTAACATTCCAAATCTGGTATCATATTTTTCGCAAAAGAATGAATGGCTTAGGAAGGATTTATGTACTGCAGAAATGTATGTAAGTGATTGATTGTGAAACGATTAACTGTTTGCATTATTTTTCCTTTAATAAGCTAATAATAACAGACAGCAGCATGAAAAGAATTCACAATTATGTAAAATTAAAGCGACAACATGTCCGACAAACGTCCGTTTCTCCCTACAATGGATAGTATGAAAAATGAGTTTAATTGAACAATTGGTTTTATAGATATTCAAATTTTAGTGTAAAATGATTATATAGCTCAGAATATCAGAATCGAATTCGTTTTTTAAATTTGAAAATTTTAGTCTAATAGATGCCCTGGCGATTTGAGAACCATGCCATTGCATGGATGTGCATGGATGTATATGGATGTGGTTTTGAGGGGATAATACGGTCCGAGATAATCACAATATGATAAAGAAATTGTTTATAGAGTGAAAGTTCATCAATTTGTGGTACTTGACATCAATTAATCGGTTGTTTTCAATTAATTAGGAAAA